GTTGGTCCTTTCACAGTCGTTAGAAGTGTCCGTAAGAAGTACCGCTCGCCTGCTTTTGGGCTTACAAAGTAGAGCCGGCCGATGCACATCCCGCGTTTCCGGACCGTCCACTCCTTGTTTTTCCCCCACGCAAATCGGGATGGGAAGTCCAGATATGTCGTATTTCGCGCGAGAGAAATCGTTCGATTGGCTGCAAACCACTCAGTAAGCGTCGTTTTTCGGGCACGGTCCGCGTTCACCGTGTCCATCAAGTATCCATCCGCATTGAATACAATGTGCTGCTGTCCCGGTAAGTGAACTTGCAAGCGCTGGACGGGCGGCGAGTGGTCGTGCATTTTGAAACCTAAAAGTCGCCAGCATCCTTCCGGCGCAGAAACATAGCGCGCGTTGATGTACTGCTTGATTTCGCTCTCGTCTTGTAGCACTGCGGTCGTACGATCGTGCCCCTTGTAAACAGATTCGAAAAGATACTTGATGGCAGTGATCGATGAACGGTTTTTGAACATTTTCAGTGTTAGTCAGTGTAAATTAGGACGCCTCGCCGTCTTCTCTGAAAGCAGTTACGTCAGACTTACCTCGACATTGATGTGCGCATCATACTTGCAACAGAGGTAGATGTTGTGCGGCATAATCCAGCGGTTGTCCACATGGCGGCCTTTTGCGTCAACAAAAACCGCCCATCATCACGCCGTCGGTATACAGGGTAGCCGTCCACGTCGGTTGACGTCTGGTCGGCGAAGGCTCTCGGATAGTGTTTGGTGCATTTGCCGTCCTCCATGCATGGTTGTCCACACCGCAAGGTCCATGCACTAAGCTGCGCGTGACGGTCTCGTGTGCATCCGGTTGAATACCTTGATCCGGGATTTCCGCTGACACGGCCGGGTCGATCTCCTCGGCGGTGCGTAGTTTTGATGCATCATCAAGTATTAAGAGGATGTGCGCATGCGGAAGACCGCGCTTCTGAAATTCAACAACCCAGACTTTGCCGACAACGCTTCCGAAGATCTTCCACTCGCTGAGGTCACGCATGAGCTCCTTTAACTTGATGTGAAAAACTCTTGCGACTTAGTCGGGCCGATCCTGCGCCTTCTGTCCAAATTCTAGCTCCGCTGTGATATCGGGCCACTTTGGATTACACGTTAATGTAATGAAAAGGTCCGTCCGCCCGCACTTGCGCACGATGGCCATTGCATCCTGGTAGAGCTGACTCATTTGACCGTCGCTTCCGGCAAAAGTCGACGGAAGTATCAACTCGCGCCCTACTTGCGCGGCGTCGTGATCTCCCTCAGTGATTACGTCCATCACTCCGGAATACAACTCGCACCTCAGCTCGCCTTGGTGGTCGGCGATGTACTGCAGACGATTTTGCTCCCCGCATGCCCACGCGTCCACGACGTATTGCTGGAAGAGCCGCCCGGACAGAATAAGATGCTCCCCTGGTGCTCTAGGGTGCAGCATGTAGGAGTAGTACTGCATCTGTGACACGCGTTTCGATCCTGCCCTCCCACGGACGGCATCCCTGTCATTGTCTTGGAACAGCCTCCCTCCAGCGTCATACTCAAGTCCCCTGAGTGGTATCGTTGGCGTCCATCCCTGTCGGCCGTCTGGAAAAAGGAGGACATAGTGGAGTGGAGTGTTGGCGGAGTTCAATGCTGATATGCACTACGAGCGCCCGTCGCGGCTTTTAAGGACAATGTCACTATCGAAGATGCTGCCGTCGTAACCGTCTCCCACCATGATTGCGCCAATTTAATTTGCCGTAAGTGTATTGTACCTGCGTCTGTCGTTCGACTGCAGGCAGAATAGACGCATTTCCAGATCCACAATCTGATCACTTTCCATACGATGACGAACGTGCTCGTACAACTGAACATAAGGGTTATTCAGTTCGAGAATCGTCTGAAGTTCTTCGAGGACGCAGCGATTCAGGGTCGGAAAAACATTCATCCGGCCAGCAAGCGCCGCGCTGTTGTCGGCAATGTAAAGCTGGGCAAACTCGTTTGCATGTCCTGCCTCCGGGAGGAGCACACCCATATGGTGGTATAGGGCGCCTTGCAGTCGGAACGTGTAAACGCCACCTTGAGTAAAGCGATCGTCCAGTTTTGTACCCAAAGACGTAAAAGAAAGCGCGTTGTTGTACGCACGAATATTTTGCCGGAAAGCCCGGGCGATGGGCGTCTGATCCCGCAGCAGGGTCCGTAGCGGCTCAGGTGGTTGCGCTAGCGGTGGTATATTAGCTACCTTGCCGCGGTCACAGCACAGCGAAAATTGCGGGTTTGCCAGGGTTGAGCCGAGAGCCTGCACTCGCTCCTGAATCCAATGAAGTGCTGCGCAATTGCGGCAGACCATATCTGCCCGATTGAGCACATAGCGTTGCTTCGACGCGTCAGCTAAAACGGCGCGACGTGCGACCGGAAGGTCCGGTTCGGCGGCGCGAGCTTGCTGGTGCGCCACTCTATTGCGCTCGCTCTCTGCCACTGTGTCTTCACGTGTCATTTCGTCTCGTCGTGCCGCCTGCGCCACTCGGTTGCGCTCGCGCTCAAGCGTTGCATCTTCGTGGGTCATTTCGTCTCGTCGTGTCGCGTGCGCCACTCGGTCGCGCTCGCGCTCAAGCGTTGCATCTTCGTGGGTCATTTCGTCTCGTCGTGCCGCGTGCGCCGCTCTGTTACGCTCGCACTCAAGCCTTGCATCTTCGTGGGTCATTTCGACTCTTCGTTCCGCGTGCGCCACTCGGTTGCGCTCGCGCTCTGCTGCCACGTTCTTATATTGTCGCCGCCGAGTGCGTTGCGCACGGCGCGCTTCTTGCCGTCATGCGGCTCGCTGTTCTTCCGTCTCTTTGGCACGCTGCCGAGAACGTCGCTCCCGGGCCAGACGATTTCGGCGCCACCGTGGGCTTTCCATCTTTAATTGTAGCACCACGTAAGGACTTAAATCTGTAGTAAAGATCTTAATGCAAAGTGCGACATAAACCAATTATTGCAAAATATTAAGCTGGCCAATCAACATGCCTAAAACATATGAAAGGATGGATGGACGTACACTATTTTTAATATTATTTAGGTAATCAAGTGTATTTAGGCGTTCGGACTATAGCCTTTACCCTTGCGGGTATTGGTAGTTGGCTTTTGGCCTTTGCAATTGGTTTTTGCCTTACACCTTTACCCTTTCAGGAAGAGGATTTGGAGATTCGCTTTTGGCTTATACCTGCCTAGTTGGCTAATCGGTCTTTGTTTTTTCCTTATTAATCGTATTGGTATGCTAATGCGCCCGTGTGAAGTCACGGCTTAAGCCGATTTGCGTCACTTATTACGAAGTCATATTGAAGGGATACGGGTCCTACCGTTATTACGGACCTATACGCCTTCGGCTTCTACCGTTATAGCACTACTACCGGCCACCATCCGAAGAAGATATTCAGTGTGTGACCCAAGCAAGCTTGGGGGACGGCCTCTCGTTTTCATGCAAGGGTTAAGTAACGACTACCACACGACAGCACTCGAAAGTGTTTACCGCAAGCAAACCAAAGTTCGATTAATAGATCAACTCAAATCTCCAATATGCCCAATTTGGCAGGCAGCGGGTATTGAACCCGTGCCAATTACACAGACCTGTATACATGGTAAGCAAACCATTACACCACCGATGGGACGTCGTCCCCAGGCTCATAGGTACTTTTTAGTCCAAATAATCTTACTTCACCCTATCAGATTTCACAAATAAAATTCGTTATATATTCAGACATCCAAATATATCGATCAAATACGTTTTTCAATGCATATTAGCGAATATGAATGAATATAAAACACAAAATCAGTCAATTCGAATTCCCAGAAAAAGCACGATGGCAAACGGATAGATACTTTTCTTTATTAATTAAATAAAAGATAGTTTAATTATATTAAAGGATCGGAATGTAGGTGTCTTAACAGCTTTTTGCCTCCTTTCGAAGCTGAATTCTGTAACGGAGACCTGCTCGCATTAATATTACAAAATTCGTCAAACCGAATTTAGATCTGCCAGTCGTTCCGACCGATAGGTGCGCAAGTTCTACGCAAGTAGTATGGAGTGAGTTCTGTACTGCTTTCTTAAGTTTTTTAAGAGCGAATCAGATGATGTAAATAGCACAACGTGTTATATTGAGAGCGAAAAACGAACGACAGAATCATGAGGTTGGTCACCGGTATTTCGGTGAATTGTGTTAGTAGAACATACGCAGACAAAGTTTATCGCCAGTATATCGGTGATTACTCGGTTTATCAGTGGACATGTAGAACATCATCATAAGATAAAACATTTGCGTAGAACGCTTCTACTTTCTGTACCGGTATGCAGGTATAAAGCTAGCGTGATTCCAATCGAACAATGAAATTAATTGTCGTCTGCTCATCATAGTCTCCCTTTTTACAAGAAAATTCCTATCGGATCGGAACGCTAACGAAGTCGTTGCGCCTCTCTGTGATCAGTTGTTTTGCGGATCGCAACAGTTGCGTGACACTAAACAAAACTTCAGCCAACGACTGGTCCACTCAACGATTTGGCTAGTGAATTCGGACGCCTTCGGCGGCAAGAGGCAAACCAGCCCCGCGGTCATGATTTGATTGTGTAGAACCACCATGTCACATAAGTGTCCAATGTAAACCAACATATTCTCTACCTCCATCTGTCTCAACTTGTGCTTCATCGCATTTCGTCTCATTGGTTCGCCGAACGCCACCGAAGCTGGAAGCCGCTCCTATGATTTTAAAGATAAAAAACGCAACCCTTAAAGCCCTCAAAATGCTGTCAGCCCCGTCAACGTTTTTTCGTTGTCCTTCTCACGGGTTCGTTGACGGCGTAGCACGTTGTCGAGTTTCATTCCTTTCATGCAGTCTCACTTCTTATTTTGCGTAATTGACGTGCCGCCAATAGCAACAAAAACACCTTCAGTATCAATGGTTTTCACACACCAATTCAAAACATGCCGCCGATGTTCATGCCGGAGAAAATCATGCCAACGTCGCATGGTAGAACAGCGACGCCGAGTCGAGTACTTGATTCCTCATGCACAGTTCTTTCTGATCCGTGGTGCCGAGCAAAGGAGGAGCAAATACTTTGCTCGAAAAGAACCTCCATTCGAAATGGACGAGGATGAGTATGGACTAGTGTTTAATGAGGTCACCATCGACAGCGAAGACCTTCGTGTCATGCGCGACTCAATCGATCAGATGCAGCAACAGTTGAGTCGTGGTCTGAAGAATCTCAAGGAGCTCCGCGCTTTGGTGAAAGAAGCAGTAAGGGAGCAAGATTATCATTCGACGGGCAGACACAGAACGATAACAACAGCAATAGCCAAAGACTTGTAGCTTCCATATCCAAGTTCGCTCAGAGTTCGATGCCTGTACGAGGTCTGAAGATGCTTAATGTGAAATATAAAGTTGAGTTAGTGAGTCAACTCGTTCAAATGTGAAAATCTCGTCACGGTAGCTAGAATGAACAAGCATGCGCGAAACCCTCAAGCTTTCGACCTTCAAAGAAAATCGGAGACGGAGAAGAAACGTGACATTCGACGTGCTGCAATCATCATTCAACAATTTAATTGAGGTCCTTTAGGCCAAGAAGCGGCTAAGCTTGTCGCTAGAAAATAGTCGCGCTCTCCAAGTGCAAACCAAGTGTCGGAGACACACGCGTAGCATCGAAGAAAATGTCTTTGTAGCATCAATAGTGGAAGATTGACAGTCACCTGCCTTTGCCAATGACTTCTGGTATGGCATGGACTTTATAGCCATCGTGATTCTTCATCTTGCAGCGGCTGCAAGGTTCAAACGGCTCGAAAACATTGTCTGCGCAACTCGTTCCACATCATCTCGTTAACTATCGCAGCAGACAGCATTGCACCTAATCTTCCTCCATCGAGTGTTGTTGTTGGAGCTCCTGACGAACTACATGATGGAGCATGGGCATGGCACGAAGCATTCGCGTGAAAAAATGACTCTGTTGCTGTCGTGTGACTCTTTGTGCCAAAGTAAAAAGCCGTTGACATACTGCTGAACCATAGCGCTAACACCGAGGTGTGGATTTCTGGAAGCACAGCGACTAGCACTTGTATCATGCGCTTGGAAACCAGTTAACACATGGCAGCTTGCAACGGTGCAGCCAATACGCTCAGGTTTCGCTTAATGACTTACGACGGGCGATACAGTTAAGAAAGACCCGACGCATCTGGACAAAACGTGAAACAATTCCAATATATGAATGCCGACGACATATTGAACGCGCCAACTCAAACCTGAAAGCATTTACAGGATAAAGACAGTTTGACACACTCGATTGTCATGCGCATCTCTCGGTATTCAAGCTAGACTTTCTCCTGTTGCTTTATCTGTAGGTTCAACATCATCATTGCAGATAGTCACAACAACAATTGCAGCGCCAAAAAGTTTCAGCGTTGGTCGGTGCCTTGATTTCTTCACAGTCTTCACAAATGCCGCCAAATCCATTGCCATGTCTCGCCCGAGATACGAATGACGCCAGCTCCACGGCAGAAGATATTCAAATACATATTATTTAGTAGATACGCATCTATAGTACTGATGTTGTTGTTAAGGCAAATACAAATGTCTTGAACAAGGCTCTACGCCTCGAGCACCCAACTTGATTTGCAAGCTTCCTCGCACGAGATTCGTTTGTTCGGATCAGGGTGGAGTAACGATGTTAGCAGGAATGCAGCCAATGGTGATAATGTGGACGGGAAAAACCACGTCGGGAATGCCACGGAGCGACGCGGCAGGACGCCACCAGCACCAGCGGATCCTGACTTCATCATACTGGCATCAGGTGACAACGGACTATTGCCGCTCGCCGACGGAGAGCATGATCCGGTGGCTTGGTTCTGGCTCCAAAGCATATTCGAACTGTTAAGCATAAGCCCCAGCATCGGCGAAGTCGCGTGGTAGCTCGAGTGGGCGGTGGACATCTCCGGTAGCTGCTGCTTCGAGTTACTGGTGTTGCCTCCAGCATGGAATGCATTGACATCGAGCAGCAACTTACCTGTGTGCGGATCAACAGGTAGGGACCGCAGCCACTCAGTGAACTTGAGATACCGTGAGCACGTGACGAGGTCCCGTCCGAAAGGTAGCGTGCCTACCAGTAATCCGTACAGAATAACACCGCTACTCCACATATCTGCTTTACGTCCATCATATCCATAACGCGCATTCTGCAAAACCTCAGGTGCCACATAATGAGGAGAGCCAACGATCGAATTTAGTCGTCGAAAGCGCGACGGTGCCATGAGATTTGTGATCCCGCTCTCGCCATTATTATCATGGTCTTCTGCACTAGCTCCACTGCTAACAGCTGCAATAAAGTGTGCTGATAAGCCAAAATCTGCAATTTTGAGCACATCCGAGTCGCTCAATAGCAGATTTTCTGGCTTGAGATCTCGATGCACAATTCCAAGCTGATGACAATATCTCACACCTGCCAATAATTGCTTAAAATAGATCCTCGCGACATCTTCTTCCACTCCCGAGTCTCCTCGTATGCGATCGAATAATTCACCTCCATATGCCAATTCTAGCACTAAAAAGATTGTCGACTTAGACGGTTGAACAAGTTCCAGAACATCGTACAATTGTAGTACATTTTCATGCCCACTGCCAATTCTTTCTCCAGTTACACTATTGCCCGTTAATTTGTGCATATGGGCAATTTCTCGATAAATGGTCTTCCTCGCTTGAAGAAAAGCCCGGTATTTAGCCGGTAGTGATGGAATCACATACGACACGTCATTCACCACAAGTTCTTCTTCATTATCACCTCTTTGTCTTTGTTCTTGTTCTTCTTGTTCATGAACTTGTTCCAATTGACTTTGATTTGCAGCTACTGAACTTGTCGCGGAAGCTGCAGCTACGGCTCGAGAAGGTTCTTGAACTGGATCTTCACAGGACAAGGTACTCGTTCTTCTGTCAGTACGTCGAGGTCTTCTTCGATCCTGTAATTCTTCGTCATGATGGTCCAATAACCACAAACTGACACACATTTCCAATGTCAATTCCCGTAAAATCGGAGGTGTCGAACCTCCTCCCGTGACATAACAAGGTAATAATTCTCTCCGTCTTGGTAAATGAACCCAATAGACATTATCCAGCGTCATTCCACGTACATTTCCAAGTACTGGAACTCCTTTCTTAATAATCTCAGCACGACGTAATGTCCCAGGACTTGTAAGTTTATACCCCACTGGATTAAGAATTTTGACAGCAACGGGTCGTTTAAATCGTTGATCAAATGCTTCATAGACAACACCAGCAATCCCTCCACCAAGATAATTTCCCATAGTAAAAGCACAAGTACTTGGACATGAAGATAGCGTGATATACTGACCATCATAAGTAGCAACACGTTCAGGAGAGACATTGGCCTCACTTAAAGGCATGTATTTGTTCTTGAATAATGATGCCATTTCTTCCCCTTGGCTAAAATTGTATTGGAAATTGTATGAAAAAGTGATTAGGTAGTACCTCTTTTGTATGTCGATTAATATATAGTGGACAGAGTGTAAAAGACTGAGAAAGCACAAATGGTCCCTGGCCCGGTGCTGACAAAAAAAATATAACGAACCAAGATTTTTAGATGGACGTTTTTTTTCTTAAGGCACTTATATTCAGTATGGAACACAAACACAATTCGTAAAAATGTGAATGTAGCTAATGTTACTTCAGCCAATCGCGACGAGATCTCGTGTCGATGGTAGAAAAGAGAAGTCGATGCGAGAAAAAAGAGTCTTTTTATTTTATTCGGAAAAGGAGGACCTTGTAATAATGGATGTGAAGGCCAGTTATTTGGTACATCCATCATACACTGACTCCATGAATGACTTGACGAAAACTTTATTTTCTCGTTTTTTATTGGCAAAGTAGTTAAAAAATAAACTCTGAATCATTGCAAACGTTCTTTACGTTGCAAGTCTTGGGAATGGAGTGATTTTACACAGAGAAAGAGCGAGCAAAGCAGAACGAAGAGTGTTCTTCCGACACATGCATTTTTCGCAGACGAATGATCGTCCTTCGACGACAACAATTTACGATGAGGCATTTATGACCATTTAAGGCTTTAGATGTTACGCTCTGGCTATTTGGAGCTAAAATGTAGCAGCAGGAACGGTAGAAAGGGGTTGCATAAACACGCATGCAGCTTTGCCTTGGGAGGTGTTTACTACAGCAGAGAAAATCAAGTTTATGACGTTAATTTTTACAGAAAAATAACGTAAAATTGCTGTGCCTCCTCAGCCAGGCGACGCCACATCGTTTTACATTTGAAGCCAAAAGCAGCCTAAGAATTCTATATAATGTTCCAATCTACCAAATGCTTCTTCATTGCTCGTTCCAAAGCAGAAAGAGCGGTATATTAAAAATCGCGTGCCATTTTTGAAAGTCTGAGATTCACGCACCATACATACAGCAAGAACAAGTTGCAGTACGTGTAACATTGTTGCAATCTTTAGTAAGAAACATCCAGATCAGCTGAACAGCAGAAGCTGTCGAAAGATCTTCTAATAAAGAAGAATCTGGCTACAACACTTGTGACTACCAGGAGGTAAAGAAAGAATTGATCAAAAAAATGCAAAACAGCTCAACAGAGTGGACAGTACAGGATACAATATCCAAATGCTTTGAGAGACTATCGCTTCTTTAGTGCTTAAGCGCTTTTCCCAAGGCAAATTGCCCAGTTCACCTCTGAATATGAATCAAGCGCCTTTAACTCTGATAATATCGGTCGACACACGTCACATAAATATTGCAATATTTTACATATACATTTTTATCAATAGTATTTTAATTGTCCAATCAGATTCGTTCAATTATCTATTAGACAAATAGATCAATAGCTACGTCGGTGACGATGGCACGGGATGACGTGCGTGAGACGCTACGGGGGACTTTAGGCTGGTCCTTCTCTTTTGCATCCTCTGATCCATCGGTAGCTCGTTGTCTCGTTGCGCATCCGAACGATGCCACACGATTGGCTGAGTGGCTTGTGCGCGAACTACCGCCGTTGATGCCTAACATAATGCCTAAAATAAGAGCCAAAGCCCCAAAACAAGAAAAAAATAATCGATCAGGCGATTTAGAAACGCTTTTAGTAGAGGAAGTAGCATTTGGTGGGATGGTGGATATAAAACAGACGTTAATGAGCAGAAGCTCGCAAGAATTAAAGCAGAGCGAGGTCTGTGAGCTGCAACAGGTGCGTCGATGTATTGACTACATAATAATTGTTTTTATTCTTATTTGATTATTATTATTAATAAAGCAATAAGTGCTGACATATGGGATTGTGGTTATGGTTATGATTGTGGTTATAATTGGCGTAATCAATTTGATGCAAGGTATCGACAAAAACAGTACTCAAGAGTTTGTATACTAATATCCCGTTGTATACGCGTGAAGATGGTGTTAAAGCTACACGAAATTTATTTGAAATGCAGGCGACATCTTGTAACGCCCACCTGTCCACACTCCGGGGAGTGTACATAGACGAGAAAGAAAAGGGTTGTTCGTCGACATCACCTGCAACTTCAACATGCACTTTTGCCGTATTTGATTACGATGCACAGTCACTTCAAGATGTATTCAAGTATAATCAATCCGTACTGGGAAGTAATGCAGATGATGGGGATGCAAATTCGGAATTACAACGTTACAAAGAACAGGATGCACTTGGAGATTTAAAGAAACGGCTCGTACTGTTTCAGCTCAACCAGGTACTCGAGTTTTTACATGCACGAGGATTGGCCTGTAACGGCTTTTCTCCCCAAGATTTGTATCTAACCGATACACTGTGGCTCCATCTTGCTGCATTGCCCCGTGTACTCGATGCTTGTTCCAACGTGGGTGGAGAATCGGAGGGTGGAGATGAAACTATACGACTTAATGTTAGTATACCAGTGTCTCGTGATGTTGATTCATGTTCGTCAAGATCAATTACAGAGCGATGGTGTATCGGTGATCTCAGCAATTTTGAGTATCTTATGGTTCTCAATACGGCAGCTGGGCGTCGCATGGAGGACGGCGTGTTCCATCCGTTTCTACCATGGGTCACGGACTTTACGGCAGGTCCACATGATGGCTGGCGAGATCTGAGCAAAAGCAAATTCCGTTTGAACAAGGGCGATGCCCAACTCGATCGCACGTTTGCAAGCAGTGTTGTACCCCATCATATCACGGAGAGTCTATCGGAGATCACGTACTACATCTATTTGGCAAGACGGACGCCAATGGCGTTGCTTCGGCGCGTAGTTCGGGGTGATTTTCAAGCACGCGAGTATCCATCCACGATGACGCGCATGTTTGATTGGACACCTGATGAGTGCATTCCGGAGTTTTACACTGACCCGACCGTGTTCAAGTCACTTCATGGTTCTGACATGGATGATTTGCTGTTTCCGGTGTGGGGTGATACTGAAGGCACTCAAGACGCTGCTTCAGAGTTTGTACGATTCCACCGCGCGATGCTAGAAAGTGACGAGGTGTCGACACAACTGCACAAGTGGATTGACTTGAATTTTGGCGCTGCGCTGAGTGGCGATAGTGCAATAACTGAGAAAAATGTCCCGCTCGTAGTTCACGCTGCTGATAAAAGCCCTGGCTTCGTGCAGCTTTTCACTGTTCCACATCCTAGACGGGTTTGTCACCATCGACCATCTAATCCACATAAACCGATGGACCGATCGACAACCTGCTCTATCGAGACGGAAGCAGAAATTCCTCGAGCTGCGCTGCGGCCTCCGAATAGCACCAAGGAGGTTAATGCCATGCTTACGAGAGCGGTGCAAGTTGTAACGGACGCCCAAAACGATGGCCTACCCCTGCCTCCATTAGCTTTGAACGGAAGTGCCAGTTCAGGTGGGCTGAGTGCTCTAGGAGGTGGATCAAGAGCGGGTATGCAAGAGGTCGAAGTCTCGCAGTTTGGTCTTCTATATGGCCAGAATACTGGGGATGCTGCTACCGGCTTTAGTGGAGTTGGCGGCACAAATCCATCGACAGCGGCATCTCCGAATGAAGCTACTCGTAGCCAAGTCATTATGCGAAATCTAAAGCAACGCCGACGAGGCAACAAGCCTCGAACTCGATCGCATGCGAATGCAACAGAGCCACCAAAATCGCCTCCAGTGTTCCTGTCTGGTGGCGGGCGTGATGCTGTCTCGCCCCCAGCACCCTCATCCGGATCAGGATCGGGCGGGCTGGGTGCGTCCAGGCTGGGGAATCTTTTCTATTCCGACTCATCCAACCCTAGCAACAACAATAACAGCATCACCAAAGCTTCTAACGGCGGGTTTTCGATTGCCTCAGAAATGTCGGCTAGTCCGCCGAACTCGATGGGGCCATTCAGTACCTCCTCTAGCAATGCAAATGGCCGAAGCTCCACAGCAAGTGGCGGGCCAGCGGACCATCTGCGCGTACTAACTGTTGTCGCACCGCACGGTGTAGGTAACGTCAGTGGAGGGTTTAGTGGGTCAGTCGGAGAGCGAGGAGAAGGCATGGCGTCCTCGCATCACATCCGCCATTCATCTCTAGGTGGTAGCCCGACCACTGGCTCACATTTGTTACGCGACCTGTGGCAGCAACTGCGTCAACCTGAGGATGATAGCACAGCTGCGACAACCATCGTCGGCGGGGGTCATGGGCACGGACATGGTCACCATCGGAGTGCTAGTGCAGGTCACGATCTAATGTTAGCTGTTGGTGGAGTGGTAGGTGACATGCAGCTCTCGGAATTAGACGCTGCCAACGATACCATTCCCGGTGTAGACGCTTCTGGGCCACTTGATGATGTGGACCTGAAGTTGCTACAGCTTGGATTGCCGATTGTTCTTCTAGGGGCTGAGACGAAACAGGAAGTTGACATTGAAGACCATGCGCCCCCTGTGCTAGAAACAGAAGCTCTAGGGCTTGATGAGTTTCAAGTAGTTGCGGATGAGATGGTTGATCCGGTATATCGCATCCCTGATGAACTCATGAGATCTACAGCGCAAGGGTTGACCCCGTTTGAGCGTGCACAAGCTGCTGATAGATTTTCCATGGGCTGTATCGCTGCTGAGCTGTATACGCACAAACCTGTGTTCTCGCGGCGTTCTCTGAAAGAATACCTTTCTGCATATTCACGACAACAGAAGCATGAAGTGTCTAAGAAAATCACGGATGGGGATGGATGGATTTCGAGTATATTGGCTACCGAAGGCAGCTTAAAGCCCGCTCAGCAGCAACTTCCATGGAACCACGGCCTATCGGAACAACTTGCAGATTTACCGCTTAATTTGAAGCAAAGCGTGTTGGATATGCTACATCCAGATCCACGCAAGCGACTACTTCTTGCCAGTAAGATCGACGGATTGGAATATCGAGGTGCAACAACTAACTCGTTCCGTGCTACGGAGGACGAGATTTGTGTACTATCGACCGTTCCGCTGGATGCGTTTCATGTGGCTCCATCTGCGTTGTACCCGAAAAAGATGATAGTCGTCTATAACTTTCTTGCAAAGCTACACAGCGCCCCGGAGCACGATTGGCATTCCAGATTTACTATTGCAAGAGAACTGTTATCATCACTGTCAGGTTTATCGGAGCTTCTATTTCGTGTAGCAATGCCAGAGCTTATGCGCTTTTTCCGAGCAAGGTCACACACTGAGACCACTCGTGCCAAACATGTGGCTGCTGCTGTTGTTTTTCTTCTCCCCAAAATGGCGCAGCAGCTTGGATGTGAACGGTCTCGCATTGAGTTACTACCTGATGTGTTACGCGTTTACGAGAGCAGCGAGTTGGGGCGCTCGCCACTTCTAAGATGTTGCCTCGGAGCACCAAGCGTGTTGTGCTCCCTTTTGCGTGCATTTGGAGCGGCTGTGGTTCTCGATAGCTTTGTCCCTGTGATACTGGAGTGGCTTATGCCACCTGCAGCCGCAAATTCCGATACGAAGGTAAGGTCGTCGCTGGAGTCGCTGTCCTTACATTCGCCATCTCCATTCGCTGCTGAGTCAGCAGCACTTATTGCAGTGACCTTCGGTGAGTTGTCGTCGTCGTCGATGTTAGGCCCATCGCTTACAGCTAAGTACGTGTTACCACTGCTACTGGCCCAGCTTGGCCGCGTTAAGAGTCGCTGGACACACCTCGCAGACTCCAAGACACTCCGATGCACCGACAAAAAGCCGACTTTGACACCAAATGTCATGGAGGATAGTGACTCGGTGGGAAGTGCAGAGTTCCATATTACCTTCCTATCCAAGACCAAGCTTTATGAATCACATCACGTAGCGGACGCTGTGTTGCAAGTATGTCGTGAGCTGGGCGAGTTCCCTGTGGCCAATATGCTGCTACCTCGGCTTTTTGATGTGCTGCCGCGACTTGTATCTCTCTCCGAACAGATTGGTTCCGTGCGCATTGAGGGTATTCCGGTACGTTCATTTATTCGCTCTCGACCATACTTGCTGAGGCATGCACTTACTGAACCCATTTTATCTGCAGGAAGAACTTGGGCGCGAAATCTATGTATTACTGCGCATTCTGAGGCATGTGGTTCGTACGCTAAATGATCCAACGAATCTGCACGATATATTGTCTGGACGTACACGTGGTAACCTTATGGAGCTTTTGGGACAAGCATCTCCACCCTTCCTACACCCTCGTATAGCGACGGCGGTGATTGCAGCCGCAACTGCGGGAAGCCAGCCAACAACATCGATGCGAGCAAGCCAGACTGCTGCAAATTCGACAAAAACGAAAGTGCTACGCAGTCTAAACTTCATGAAAGATGCTGATCACCGCAATTTACGTGCATTCACAGTGGTGGGTCTATCTCGCACGATCGTAGCTGTGTGTCAAAAGCTCGGTGCAGAAGCTACAGTGGCGGATGTGTCTGTTGTTAATGGTATCAACCGCTTCCTCAAGCGATGCAGTGATGTGTATACGGAGCTAGAAGTGTCCAATTTTCAGTGGGACCTAGCCAGCGAGTTGGTGAGCGAGCTGTGTGTGCCGCTTCGTACCCTTTTGGGTAAGGAGCTTTTCAACCGACATTTTCCTATCGTTGCAGGCAGTTCAGTTCTTCAGCTCCTGTTGCTACCCCTGAGCAGCACTGCTGGCACTGATCTAAACGGGACTAGCGAACTCCATAGTCGGGTGCTTAATAATGACCAGCGGAACATGAGTGCCCTTGATAGCCGACTAGCACAGTCCCAAACTCACATACGTCAACGAATGCAAATGGCAGCAGAAGAAGAAGATGCTGGTGATGAGGAAGATGACGATGCAGATGACGACAGTGGAGATGGTGACGACGCGTCTATGACATTGACTTCAAACTCAGACGATCCAATGTCATATCCACCCGAGTTATTGCGCTTCGCATACCATGCACTTCGACTGTATTCGGTTCGCGCGACCAGCTTTCTTCGCGTGCCCTCCACGGTGCTAGTAGGTGCTGACAAGGAAGCTGCTCAATGGGAGACTGCCCTGAGTAAGGAGTTACTGCTCTTGCAGGAATCTCGCCGCCAACGCAAAATCGTAAAAGTCGCTATGGCCCCTGAACGCGCTAGCGCCGACGCCGTTTGGCTTCGACCTCGTATTCGCCAACCATTTGAAGCTAGACGCGAAGAAGGAATGCTCCATGCACCAGTTGGTGGCTATGAAGGCGGTGGGGGAAATGGAGGAATTTTAGGAAGCTCGTGGGTTTTCAATGGTGAGATTCGTCAGTCCATCAAAGCCCATTCCAGTTCGGTACGATGTGTAAGTGTGGATGCGAATGAAGAATTGGTCTTGACGGGAAGCCGACATGGATCCTGTCGGGTGTGGCGATTAGCAGGTCACCCTGTTCAGACTCCAGCAGCCACACTGACCGGAGTGTCCGACAATCGCCCAATCCTGGCAGTTGCACGCACTGGTCGAACTGGGCCCCAGGTTAGACATGCAATGACTGAGGCAGGCGAAGCGGACGGAATGGCAGCAGCAGCTTCGGCTTCATGCATGATGCTGTGGGACCTCCAAACTAGTCAAATTCGAATGCGACTGCCATTTGTCGCGACTCATGAGCCTGTTGTTTCAATGACTACTGGTATCTCTGCTGTCGATGTAGCTGTGGCTACTACGCGACGTGTAGTGTGTGTAGATGCCCGCACCGGTCCACGCGTTGTTGCCGAGTGGTTCGCAGACGCCACTGGTATCGGTTCTAGCTCCACTGCATCGGGTCTACGCTTGTCAGTGGTGGCCGCGTTCATGGATAGCACGGGTTATGTTGCTCTTGGAACCACAAGTGGCCGAGTGGTACTATTGGACTCACGAACAGGTCGTCAGGCAGCGAATTGGCAGGCACTGGAGGCTACTACGCGTATCGTGTACTTGATGCAAATCTCATCGTCGCAGTTGCTCGTCGTGGGCGCCGACAAGGAGGCACGTGTGTGGCGCGTGATGCTGCAAAGGCACAACTCTCCACAACTCCGGATGACGATTACAGGAATACCCGAAGGTATTTCCGCTGCACAAATTTCGGTCCACTCGACAATGGACACAAATGTTCTCTACATTGTCAATGGTGCTCGAATGCACTGCGTCCAACTCCTGACGGAACCTCGAGCGATTGGGTCTGTGCAGCCTCCTGTGAATGTGCGTATGGAATCGTGGCAGCTCATGGAGTCAAATGGTGCTGCTAAAAGCAATAAGAGCCGAACTGTCGCCCATGGCGTAGCAATTTTACCTTTGCGTCAACTTGTCCTGCTTGGTACAGAGGACGGGTGCTTGAAGTGTGTCATTTAAACAAATGACGAAATAAATTACTATTCTGGAAATGAAGAATATTACAGCCTATGAATAAAAAACAGTACAACCAAATATAAAATCATTTAAACCGTACAGCCAGATAAAATTGTTTAAACAGTAAAAGACATTAGGAAAAAGCGCTTCATTAGCTCTTCCTTCTTCCGGGAAAAGAGCCGGAACAAAAGAAGAACGTGTTATTGTAAAAAAAGGTACAGCACAATAGACTCGGCTTCGTCCGCGTCGTCGTACTGGTTCAGAAACAGTCCCGTCAACATGTCTCAAACTTATTTGTTCAGACCTTTGGCTTCATTAATGACATTCTTATGCATCGTGGCAATTTTGCGACGATGCGACTGCCAATCGGCCCCCGCGTCCTCCTTGTAACGGAAAATGTCCTGGCGATTCTGTTTGTTCCAATTCACATCCGGATGACCGGATAAGTAGCGCACACATTGCGCCGTGCACAAGCCAGCGGCAGCTACGCAAGTTACGAGCACGGGCCACGTGCCCTTGTCACCGAGCCATCTCTTGGTAGCACTTTGAGTAACACGACCAGCCATTTTTATCTTGAATGTGTCTTGTACAGGAGGAAGAAAATTGGAGAATGCCAATGATTGAAGAGGCTAATGCTATAATACGTAGCCTGTATAATCTAATATGTAATTAAAAGAAAGTAGGGCTAAAAACCTGTAGGTTTGAATTTACCGGGGAAAACTGATTGCTTAGATTTGAGTGGCTGGAAGCCGTTTGTCGTCCTCAGAAAAATACCTCTTTTTTGCAAGCATCTGAACCCCAGGACGCAGGCAGCGTCATTAGTATGAAAATAGCGAAATTGAGGTGTCTGATTCGAAATCTGACGTAACGGCATCGCTAAATATGCGTCTAATTCTTTGCTACATATGCGTCTATTGAAACGTGATGGATGTATATGAACTTGTGCCCTGGATAGCAAATGGAGTCTAGAATTTTAAACACGTTGAGTCAAAAGCTCGATGTTATCATTACACTCAGACTTACTAGTGTTACTACATGCGATGATACAGGCATAAGAGAAGTGGAAGTACGTCTTTATAGCGTCACCCGCAGGTTTGTTACGGAGTCCGAAGCCTTTAAACGGAATTGTAAGGGTAAAGATTGGGGCAAGAGTACGAGAGTTTCTTGATTATTGGCTGTAGGCTAAGATGAAAATGGACGGTAGCAGTGAATAACTACATAGAACGACTTGGTTTGTGTTGGCGTTCCTTCAGCACTTTTGGAGTTCGTTCGTACACTTGAAGAGATATTGCACCGCTGCGTCTTCGACAGCACACGAAAGTCATTATCTCATCTATATCCCTATCCGGCTCCGGTTTACTTACACGTGCTGGCACGTTAGAACAAGGTCCCTAAATTAACAGCTGGTGGTGATTTTGGTGCGGTGGACTTGTACATTGTAAAGGGATTTATGATCTCGAAAGGTGAAGATTAGATACTTGAGAGGTGATGTGGGCAAACTATCATAGGATAAAATGGCGTACTTTATCGCATTTTAGAACGAATTGTTGGGCGCAAACTTCTACCTACGTAGTTTTTTTTCACTAACATATTGACTTTGAATTTGAGGAAGTTCACCGAATGCGTCACAGGTACTCCTCCTGCCTTCATCACTTTACCTGTCCCAGTGTATAATCTCCTTCATGTGTCTGTGTATACAGCGCACTAGCTGGTTCCTTCGCTGCCCTCGCCGGTTTACTAGGCAAACTCGGCGCCGATGGCGACTCGAGCGCGCTGCAGCTTTTTGAAACCCAATGTCAATCGTCGTCATGGTTTGACTCATGCGGTCTACTGAGTTATCTCGTGCGCGTCTTGTGTCTGGTACTAATGCTCGGCGCCAATAGCCTGATGCTCAGCTGCTTTGTTAAGGGACTACACGAGACGGACTCGCTCACAGCCACAGTCACAAGCGCAGCGGTGAACTTTATGCTCTCGGCTGCTAGTGGCTTTTTCTTCTTCCAGGAGCATCTACCCCCTCGCTGGTTCCTGGGAGCCTTTGTGATTTTAGTAGGAATGGCATTCCTAATGCATGGAAACACCCCTGCAGAGGACAAGACCAAGCAGGAATAGGAGGATGGGGCATGCACTGCGCAAGAGCTGGGAAATCAAAATCAATCTGCTTCGTTCTTTAACCTGTTTAATCCGTAATCCCATTGCTGCCACAAACATTAATGGCAGCTGGCCAGTGATTGAGTTCGGCCAGCTCGAGCCATGAATGCGACGGATAGCCGGATTCGCTGAACCAGTCGCAGAAGATGCGAAGTGATACTTCCATCTTAAAGTCTAGGGTGGTTGACTTTTCGGTCAATGATTCGGCAAAAGACTGTAACACGGCATCTGCGCCGAGTTCGGAGGAATAGCGAGCCATCTCGGCGCTTAGCGAGCTACTCATGCCGTAGAACGCCATCAAAAAGCACATGAGACTGGACTTGATGGTCTCCAACTTCACCATTAATCCGTCGCCTTCCTGTTCCTCATCGCCTTCTGCCTCACCCTTATCAGCGCTCTCTCCGTCGTCATCGGAAATTAATGCTGCACAACACTTGAGTTTCTCAAGCATCGAACCTTCGCAGACCACCAGCAAACCGCAAATTGCTGCTCCAATGTCCGTCGGGTCTTCCAACTCGTCATCTTCAACCTCATCGCCTGCGATTTGTTCAACTTCATCGTCTGAAGCAGCTTCAGCTACGAAAACACCAAGTAGCGAATGAAGCATCTCAATCCCTTCGTCACTCAGGAATCCAGCTTGATCGGTAGATCCACTTGACGGAGCAGTGAGAGGTAATGTTCCGCATACTTTTTGAAGTGCACGCAAAAACATACTGCGACGTGTCAACATGATACCAGCGCTGTTGGCAGCGGGGAAATTCAACGCTTCCAGAACTGCACCCTGTAGCTCCCATGACGTCACCGTGTGCAGTTGCGTTTGCCGAAGGAACAGTTTAAGCGTCGAGATGTCTTCGTTGAAGAACTGCAGTTCTGCAGCGTTCTTTGCAATGGCAAATACCATAACGGGACCATCTGAGCACAGACTTGTCGCACCTGCAGACTTGCGAAGGTCAGGTGTTTGACCTGAAGCTGGTGCTGGAAGACCACGAACAAACGGAGTTGACACAATGTCGCTCTGGCGCACCTGCCTCCGTCGTGTCACGGGCTTCACGGAGTGTTGAATTGGCTGCATCGGCTCCACTGGCATAAGAGCCGCTGTAGACATTGGGCCACGATTTTGCGAGCCCATGTAAGAGGCGATGCGTTGGCTCTGATAAACCGATGCAGGGCCAGCTCCTGACGTCACCATCGACAGATCCTGAAAGTCCTGCTGTTGCTGCCACTTGCTCACGTCTAGAAGCTCTACCCACGAAATCAGTTGATAACCCCCTGCGTTATACCACTCGCCAAACTGCTCGAAGGTCACGCGAGTGCGCGAGCGAGCACTACCGTAGCCAGACATACTGATGGCGGCAGTCCCATTGGCACCTCCATTAGTTGTGACATCCGTCATGAGATCGCCCATAGCTTCCTCAATAAAATCATCAGCCTCCACATAGATCTTCTCCAACCCAAGGCGGTACGTACCATCACTGAGTGCCATGAGTGTCAGTAAAAATGAGCGTAGGTAGATAAACAACACCGAATGTGGAAGCGCATTTATCTCAGCCGCTGATGATGGTGGAGGGTAACGAGTCGTGCCACCTCGCATTCCTTGCGCACTTGATGCAAAATCACGGGTACTAGGAAATCCAAACCCTCCATTGCTCATCAAAAACTGACTGCTTTGAACACTTCCGAGTCCAAATCCAAACCCCCCCGTAGCCGTTCCTTGTGCGCCAAAACCACCGAGACCTACAGAAGTGCTGGGAGGCGCCGGTGCATAGCTTGCAAGTGTTTTGTGCCGCTGTTGGCGCATTTTGGTGATAAAGTCGAACGCCAAAGAGAGTTTCTGACTTTTAGAACCTTTGCCCAAAATGCTCAGCCCACACGCAAGTTCTAAGGCGTTTACACGGCCACAACGCTTGCGATCGAACACGTTAAACAGCCGCGAGAGCAACTTGGACGAGGTCTGCTGAGCCTTCTCTGACATGTCGTCTTTCGATACCAAACTACGCACGCATTTGTAAAAGTTGGCACGCGTCAGAACTAGATATGCTCCTTCATCTTCCTCCACAGCAGCATATGAGTACATTTGGCCTCGGCGACTCGGAGTTCCAACAACCTTAGACATCTTGAGTGCCTCCTCAGCTGACGGCGTAGCATAGGCCAGTAGTGCATCATAAACTTTGCTTACGCTCAACTCGCCAAGCTTCGTCGAGCGCAGCATAAATAGATACGTCGATATATCACTCTCTGTGAAGTGCAGAATGCTGCCTTCTTCAAGCATATCGAAAGCGTAAATTAGCGGTTTCTCGCGTTTACTCGCCTCAAAAGCTTCCTTGGCCGGCCACTTAGACAGGTCAAGAAGCTCCAGCCATGGACAGTCCATATAGCCTCCTGCCGCATACCACGCAGCAAACTCAGCAAGGCTGATGGAATCCGGGCGCTTACATGTTGCCTCACAGAATATCTTGGAGACCAAGGCGCCAGCTGCACGTCCTGCGATCGAGTTAGTACTCCAGGAGCTAATAGACCCCGTGTCGTTTACATTGTCTCGTGTAGCATTGTAGCTTGAGAAGGCAAACAACACCACAAGGATAGATTTCAGCAATTCGAAAAGTCGGCGCCGAGAAACGTGTCCATCCCCGTGGGATGCAAACAGCTTGAACAGCGCACCTAGCTTGGCACTCTTTGTTGTTCCGCAAAACACACACATACCAGCAACCAGCTGCAAGGTTTCAACTGATATAGTGTTAGTACCCACCCCGCTTGCAAACGTTCCGCTCTGGTGTTCACCTTCATCAGTGCTGTTGATACCATTCGTCTCACCGCTCTGTAATACACTTTCACTCTCGAAAAGTGTAAAGATACGCAGCAAGTGAAACGAGAGAAACTCTTGTTCCTCGTTCGACAGCTCGTCACGTGGTACAAGGTCGCGCATGGCGCGTAAATACCCAGGTTTAGTTAACGAGCGATTGTGTGCGTGCTTTTTCAGCAAATGCACGAGCTCGCCGCACGTCATACGACTACAATTCATGCGTTCGGAGATCGTGTAAACGATGGCAACATCCTTCAAACGAATGCGTAGGGTCGTGTTATCGTAGCTCGTCAACTTGAATTGAAGTGCCACCGAAGAAAGGTCCTTTGCTGCTGCCGTTGATGCTGTTGGAGAAGTGATTAAATTTGCAATGCCGCTGACCGCATCCATGCCTGCTTCGACAGCATGGCGATCGGAAGTCCGAAAGGCTGTGGTGTCAAGAAGCGTCATATCTGAATCAGGGAAATTAGGTACCAAAGACTCATGTACGCGGTTCGAACTCTCGTTGGAAGAAACCGTATCGTTAGATGATCCTGAACCCGTCTCTTCAGATTCCATTTGCGTAGCACTTTCCAGAGCGTGGTGATGGCGGCTAATATAGCGAAGAATTGCATCAGACACCGAAGGGGGTACCTCTGGCCATTTCTTAGTGTCCAACAGCTCAATCCACGCGATGATTGTGTAACCATGTTGCGAATACCAAACAGCAAATTCTTCAAAGGAGACAACGCCTCCACGAATGAATGCTCTCCCAGCACCAGATCCTGATGCACTGGATGCGGCGCCAACAAGATGAAGATTAGTATCACCAGGAAAAGACCCGCGGTGCTCATAGCACCTCTGACCGCGATGGCTCAATGAGCCCTTGAGCGAGGCCGAGTCGACAGACGCTGGAAAGTCCAAACTGTGTCGTTGACTGCCTTCTCGCATTGATGATATCGACTGCCTAGTACTAAAGGTCTTATTCGTGTCTTTGAAAATGCAGTCGGCAATCTCGATCGCAGTGGTATCTGCAACACTGGCGATTGCTTCCGCTGACAGTTCGGACCCGTTCCCCAAAGCCAATAACATTGTCAAGAAGGCGCGTAAATACTTCCACATCTCCCGACGAGTAAGACATCCGTCTCCATCAGCATCAAACAGTCGATATGCAAATGCTAACTTCTCACTCTTCGAGCCCGCACAAAACATGGTTAATGCGGACACGAACTCGACCAAGTCAATCTTGCCCGTTCCACCACGGTTGAAGGCAAAAAATAAGCGACTGAGAGTATCCGCAACCATCTTTGAATCCTTTGTACGGACGACACTACGAGGCGAGACGCGCGTGTTGCTGATCCCGTCAAATGCAGCTGCCACACTAGGAGCTATGTCAATAGGTAAAAGTTTAGCCACACATTTGTCAAATGTCCTTTTCTCAATACACGCCGAAGACGACTTTTTCATATACGGCTCAAATACGTCATAAACTCGGTACAATTCCACCTGGTTCAGCTTAATGACTCGCTGAACTTCAAAGTACTGGATCAAATCACCGTTGTCGAAGCTCAGAGTTGTTAACGGTAACTCAGTTAGTGCATCGTCATCCGCGTCAAAAGGCAGGTCAAACTCCAGCACGATCTCATTCTTCAGACAGATTGCGGGAAGGGTAGCAGGAATGCTACTATTGTAAGATCGTACAGCTGTTGAAGAAGACCCGATTGACGTTGCCGAAGGGGACGGGTCTTGCACAACCAGGATTGGTTCGTCCTCGTCATCATCCTCGTCGATAACGTCGGCAAATGTGAAATATGATTTTTTGACACCCGGTGCTCCCTCTGGAGAGTCTATAGCGTCAATATCCACCTGAATATTGTTGGCGGTGTAGTAATTGTTGCTTGCTACGGCTGGGTCTACTGAACGAGTGTCAAGACTCTCCAACGTGATTGAAGGTGATACAAATACCCATTTGCGAAGATCGAGCAGCTCTAGCCAGCTCATTCCTTCAAATCCTCCGCCGTTGTACCACAATCCAAAACCTTCAAACGTGTAAAGACCAAGTCGCATATCCGATTTCGCACGCGCGCGGCCACCATCAATTCCATCATTTTCACCATCAGCATATAGCTTCTTTTCATCATCCTGGCTGCCATCGCTGGTCCTCTCTTCATCTTCTTCCTCGTCAACCACGCTTAATATTCCTTCCCTGATAGATTCTAGTATCTCTTCTTCCCCCTTGTCTACTAATTCTGCCAACGAACCATATCGAAGCAAAATAGCTTCATCTGGAGGCGATAAGTGAAGTAGCGTTATAAGAACAGACCGCAAGAATCTCCACAGCTGCTGGCGGTTCAAATAGCCCTTACTATCCACATCGAAATAATGAAAAGCCGACGCAAGTTTGTCGCTTTTCGATCCCCACGACATTAAGCTAAAACCAGCAGCAATCTCAAAAGCATCTACAGTTCGGCAATTCTTAGGCAAAAATGATCGAAAAATGGCCAGTGTACTTTCCAAAAAAGCATTGTTCTCCATCAAGTGCGGCTTGTCCGTCATGCTAAGCAGTTCTTCAATAGCTTCTAGAAAAGTCTCCTCTTCAAGTAAACCATCCCCCGTATGCTGTACAAAAGTATCGTACATTGCTTGAGGAGCTACACGTGTGAAAGCTGATTGAGCCAGTAAGTCATACAAATCCACAGCTTGCTGTTCGCCAATAATCAACACACCGCCATCCACACTCGAGAAACGAAAGCTTAACCCCGTCGAGTCATCCTCTTCCTCATCATACTCGATATCACTCTCTCCTTCTTCACTCTTCATCGACAGCGATTCCTTCAAAAACCCTCGATCTGTCATAGACTCTTTAGACAATGACGACATTTCTAGCCACTTGTTTGGATCCAGTAGACTTATCCACATCATAGCTTGACTCAAGCCACTATTTGCTTGAATCCATGGCCAGATTTGTTCTTCAAACGACGCCGTGTCATCTTTTCCTAACGAACAAGCCACAAACATACACGCGACCGTTTTCTCCACACATGTCTTGATAATTAACGTCATAGATTCCAGCTGATCTTCTATTGTCGTCGTCAGGTCAAACACAGCACATAATGACTGCAATAAACAGCTCAGTGCCTTAGAAACGACAGAAAACGTAATGACGTTATCGTTATCATCGCCACATCCGCATCGACTGAACTGGATCGCAATCTCCACTTTCTCCTTCACTTGTCCAGGTAAAAGCACGAGACAACCGGTTATTAACTGGTAAACATCAGTCCGATTTGTCGTTTCAAATGAGCGATAAATACGCTCCAGTGTCTCTTCCATTGGCTCAGCATTTTCCATTAACGACTGTACCAAGTGCAGAAACGCATCCTTCTCCAGCAACGAGACGCCGTCACTCGATGCTCGTTCATTAATCGTCTTTGTAAGCGTCTGGAGGTTGCCCGTTGCGCATTTGAAAGTCATTAGAGCGTTACATACGTGCGACACGCGCTTCGACTGCAGTACAAGCGAGCATTTCGGGTTCAAAAAGGGCAATTTAATCAATGTCTCGACGTGAGAAGTTGCAAATGACAAAGGCAACGACAAAACGTCGTCTGTGCTCGTGTGACTTGGTAGAGAATTCTCCGAAAGTCGCTGTGGACTTCTGGGCGTCGGTGGTCGAGTAGACTCGTTCATTATGTAGCAGCAAAAGGACACCTGATAGTGTGGGTAATTAGAAAGTCAGTAACTAACGACGTTGTTCAGTGCGGAATCGTTGTTGTTCTTTCGTCTTCTGCCGCACTCTCACTCTCTGTGATGTTGCTTGGTTCTTTCGCTCTCTACCGCACTTATGTGTTGCTATTAGTGAAACCAACACGTTGATTTTTTTTCGCCTGTTTATAGAGCTGCGAAAAGGCAACTTTCCATAAACATGTTGAACCTGGGTTGTGTGACATTTGACAAGTCGGTGCAAGGATGATTAATATTATGTTATTAACGCTGTTAGTCACTAGAGTCAGGGATTAAATCAAGTTGCTAAATGACAACTGCGATGGCTAATCAGATGCCCGTCAATGCGTACGCAGCTGGATGTACTACCGCCCGGGAACCTCTGGGCTCTCGGTCATTGTGACGCGCAAAACAAGACTTGCAAATGCTACGTTGTGTTTCGGTGCACCCGCAGACATCACCAACTTCCTGCTTGTTGCATGCGTAGATTTTAGTCTGCTTTATTAATGCATATCATTTTAGTATGCAGGAAGTTGTCTTGGAAGCTAGGAAAGAATTTGGACGCTTAAAGCAAAAAAACGGAATACTTGGGCGTAGATGTCTGCAATTGACCTTTCGGCATATGCTGCTTCAAAAGAAGGATCGGCTTGCCAGAGAAGTACGAACATTTGCTCTGAAGTGTCGAGACGTAACCAATTTGCATGCATTTTCACAGTTAATTGCCCTAACAGCTGCTCCAACTGCATGAGGAATGCATCAATTGCATTGCTACTGTTTCTTTTTACAAAATACAAGGGAAATATGACCACAGAACGATTTGTGACAATTCTTTCTGTGGTCCTCTGTCGATCTGAACCCAGCTGACTCGCAGCTCTTGTGACCCGACTGCTTGAAGGAAGCGAATCGTTGCTTGGGTGACTGAAACACATTGTTGCTTCTTGTCGAGAATAACCGGTTTGACCTCACCTCAGCCAATCAACGCATCGAAAACTAACCGCTGAACCGTCATTTTCTGGCCACTCGTGGCAAGGTCAATCCGGATACTTGAAATGCGTGCATTGAAGCACAGATACCTAAAAGCTTGCGGTAGATCAGCAGATACAAATTTAAAGTAGAAAGGAATTGAATTACACTTTATCAATTACTTGTATGCAATTTTTGACTGGCTTACTTGCTAAATATACGACCTCGTTGCATTGTCCGTGGTGACTTGGTCTGGTTATGGTGAGCCGAAATTAAGAATGGGGGTCGAGGGATCTCTTCGGATAAATCTGTGAAAAAGGGGTTTTCACGATCCTCTCCATATGAAATAGCCAACGTAATGCATTCTATATTCTAGATTAGTTCAAGCGAGTTGATTTTGGCAAAATACAGTAGAGAACTAGCAAATATCTACAACCAGTTGTAGCACCACGTTGCTGCAGTTTTGTCCGCTGACAAAGAGCGGCGATGTGTATCGATACAAGTGGGCAAATTGCGCCTGACAACGAAGTCAGCTCGGACAGTTTGATCCTACAGTCCGTCTCTGAACTTTATACGAATGTATAATCTAGTGCGTCAAAACTCAGACGGTAAACACTTAGCGGCCAAAGCTGCAAGCATGAACACGGTCTCTTTCGTGTTCGTTTACTTACACCTCTCCTTCAAAGCGATTATTCGCTACACAAGACACTTTCCTTCATGACAAAGATGAATACTGGAAGCTCATGCATCTAAACCACGCTTCATTTCGATCATTTGTCATTTACTTGGTTTTGCTACACAACCTGCTCGCTTTGGCAACCACACACTAGGAGCGATCGGCATATTGTGCAGTAGCATACTTTTCGAAAGGTGTTTCCTGAGAAGATTGCCTGCTCAAACAACAAAGCTTAACATCAGTGCAGTCACCAATGTAACGACCCTCCTGCTAAATTGCAACGTACCAGAACGATGCAGCGCACATGGCAGCGCCTGCCGCAACACCAGCACCGACACCCACACGCATACTTTGCTTCACGATACCAGGTACGATGCCCACAAGCGCACCACCCACACCGGCATTGATTGGGTCCTCCGTCTGACGAATTGATGCCGAGAGGTACTCACCCGTCGAAAAAATGCACCCAACCGCAGCAAATACGAACTGCATGAATGCAATACACAGTAAGTCACTATCCAGCCTTTTATTCTCAGTAGTATCATATACCGAACGCGTGCCCAGATGCTTGAGCTGGGTCGAGAGCTTCGGCAGCTTGGCACCGAGCTTGGGGATAGCCCACACGGACTCGACGGACCCGACGGCAGCACCGAAGAAGGCACCCGCGCACTGTACAGTACAGAAAACAGTGAACAAGTTAAAGAAAGAATGGCGCATGCAATGGATGATACTTTAAAGTGGGGTCAGACACATACCGTCGTGTACACGACCTTTTCGCTTCCAGTGGGTCCGTTCATTTCGTTCCTTAGCTTTACGTAATTGTTTGAGGGCTTATGTGCGGCTCTCCAAAGCTGAGATTGCTCGGGTGTTGATTGGCTCACTTGTTATATAGATATATATTAATATGATAAGTGACTAATCAATAATTGACAGCTGTTCGTAAGGTTGAGGGTTTGATATAGCGTTGAGTGTAAATACATTTGATTGCTATCTTTGTGCTTGGGGCAATACGATAGTGTGTGAAGCTCTGCTGATGCATCGTGATTGCTAGTTGAAAACTACTCCAACACCCGTGAGCAGGCCACTGGCCGGCTCCAATTTCTGTTTTATCTCCCTATGGGAGGAACACCCAACTTATTTTCACTACAATATTGTTGCAATCTAGATAATATGACGAGGTCTACAGGTATATACTCTACAACCTAGAACATACCTTTTATCGATGTTTATTTGCGCAAGTAGTGTTCTGGCGGTTCTGACTCGTAGTTGTTAAGTGCCTTCAGTGGCTAGCTACCATTCCGACTGCGTCTAGCTTTTGCTACCAAATTTGCATATCCCCTGGTTTCGCACCAATTTCTTGTGCATCAATACATTCGGCATCGAATAAGCGTCAAATTAAACGCCACCTTTCAATGGGAATTTTTTTAAGAAATATACTGCCATCGAAAACCGCTATTGTGGGTCCACCTCCATTTATAAAGTGGCTATTCCTTAGAATAGCTAAATACACTAAATATAGTAAGTTTTACTGAGTACAGAGCTCCCTCCGTGAAGTTATGGGTACGGTGGACGACAATATATATAACTCAAGGAGGTTATAACTTATCGAACTTATTTCAAACAGTAAAATAGATAACCTGGGCAGCCAGACAGGCGCAAGAAGCCAAAGCATGTTTGCAAATGTATATTACATGCAAGCTCGAACGAAACAGCTTAGTAACTCAAGACTATATTTAGGAAGGTGATAATTATTGTAAAAAGCTATTGTTGTTGACAGGTCGTGAAGGTCAAGGGCAATACCCTGTCACGCGGTAAGTAACAACCGTACCTGATTGGCTAAACAGACTTGACGTGCTGACAGATGGGACGAGGCGACGATATCGCCACGTCGGACCACCAGGATGTTGCGACATATGTGACGAGGCGATGAGATTACCACATCGTCTTGTCGATGTCGTAACAGATGGGACGGAGCGGGATAGACGTGAACTATAGATGGTATAGTTGCAGTTGGTTTCGCATGCATGTGTAGGTATTAACGAACGAGGAAAGTTAATGCTTAATATATATCACTTTTACTTCTACATCTTCTGCAACAATTGCAGCAACACTACTACCAATTTCTTACAGGTTATGAGCCCAAAGAATCGTGTAGGCGGCGCAGCTCAAGGATCCACATCCGTTGTGGTGGTCAATAGTCAAAAATCGACCGAGGACCACCAACTAGAAAAAAAGTCGGCAGTGCCCGCGGCGGCACTGGACAAGATGCTCGCCATGCTTGGCAATTTGTCGGAGCGGATGGGTAGGATGGAATCCTCCCAACACGGACAAGTCGGTGGCCAACGCAAGGAAATTGCGGAGTCGAGCGTCTTTGGTTCGATTCTCGGTTCAGGGGCTGGTATAACACTCCAGGCTTTGGAGCGTACCCCGCCACCTAAACGATCGCCGAACGTCTCGCCGGCCACTTACTTTGGTGCCCGACGACCGGATTTATCCGGGGAGCACATGGTCGACGCGCCGGCCTAGGCCAATGTCAACCACGGAATGGGTCAGAGGACTTGAGCCTGGAATTCATGGGCATGCCATGCCCGCGGGAGCATACCCGGATATGCAGATGCTAGGTCCAGTGTTACACTAACCTGGGCAAGTACACCAGGGTTTACCGGATGGCCGTCAAAGGAAGCTGGCTTTGCAGCTTTTCGACGGTAAGGAGCTCTACCTCGGACTTGGTAGTGGATTCATTAAATGGGGGAAAGAATTTGTTCGGCAGGTTTCCTTTTCGGAACGCGCCTGTGGGTTCGCATGGCCTGAGGACATTAAGGTTGATGTCCTCGGACAACACCTCGCTGGTACGTCGCAGAATATTAATCAACGGTAGGTGGAAACTTGGTGGTCTGAGATCGACCTTTGAGCATGCAATGCAAAGGTTACTCCAGACGTTCAACACCAAGATAACACCTGCCCAAAGCATGAAGCTGTTTACTGCAGCCAAGTCATCTCAGCGTAGCTGGACGGAGCATTTTCTGTAACTGACCGCTGTAAGCAATGCGTGCGGAGGTTCGGACAACCTCGTGCTAAACAACATCGTGCACTATGCCGACCCGTCTATGCGGTCGACCATGTTGTATCGCCTATATTTTAAACAGGATCGATTACCTTCGCCAAGCTGAAGAGCTCTCCCAATTTGCTCAGTCAACGGAACTGGAAGTTCGCGTAAAGCATTTCGGACGAGATGTCGTTAACATCGTCGAACCGAACAACCAACCCAAGCGAAACGGACTAAACAAGAAACAACATGGCCCGCAACGACTCAAGCAGTGTTACCTGTGTGGGAGCACCGGGCACTCAAGATGAACTGCCCAAAAGGTACCAAGAAGAAACAAGATGCGGATTTTGTCTTGGCAATTCCAGGACATCGGACGATCTCATCAAATCGCTGGGTGCTGGACAGCGGCTCAGGTCATCATCTGGTTAACGATTTGAACTTGCTGGAAAATGCGGTGGATTGCAACAACGAATGTTTTACTGCAGCATTTGATAGTGAACCACTTCGGATCACCAAACAAGGAAGCGTCATGATCCGGGTCAAAGCACTTGATTTGACTAAGGTTATTCGTCTTCTCGATGTTCAAAACGCCTCCAATTTGGAACGGGCTAAGGACCCGTTACCGTCTTACACTAAAAGGGCGTTGAGGAAGCGCTCTTAATTAACTCGTAAATAAAACTCTGTTTTATTTTTGTTTTAGTTTTAATTCGCAGTAAGTGCCAATATGTTCCCTAGCACATGGGAACCACTCAATATGGAAGTCAATTTATTATTGGCTAATTATTGGGTCTGGCACCCCAATAATAAACCAATAATAAAATGACGCGCAATATCCGCTAATCGGATACTGCCCTATGCCTACTTATGTAATTATGTATTAATCCTATAACTACTCATGTAATAGGTTGCCCCATTACATCACCCCCCCCCTCTTTAAGTTGTGCTTACTACAACGTAAGCACATAACTTGAAAAATGATTCTTTTCACCAAAGATGCAGCGACACAGCCTCGAACCTGCTCAGTGACACGCAACTGAGCAGCATGACCCTGGCCGCGCGCGCAAGGATATATCTGACGGCAACAACCGTACGATCTGCATGGAGCAGACACCGCGAGTCACGGACGCACACTTGATCCCGTGGACGCTATACCGTTATATCAGCGCTAATCATCCAGAATTGCGAGAAGTCATAACGAAACTCTTCATTCGCTATCATTCCGTTGGTGCAGTGGTTTACCACTGAGTTCTTGATCGTGATGTCGCTGGTTCAATCCCCACGTCCGCCATATTCGATTCGCTATGGCAACCCACATAGTCGCAAATGCCATCCAAGTTTTCTCGAGCCTCATAATAGATCTCGGAATCGCTGGGGGCCTCGTCGTCAAAGTTCTGTTGCTCGCGAGCATCACGGCTCGCGAGATTGGGGATGGAATTGGCAGCATCACTCGCAATAGCCGTCTTCCTACGCGACTCATAATCCTCGACCACGTCTGGTACATCTTGGAACAGCGTACTCGATGGCTCCCATGTATCGTCCGCCGGGGAATATCCCAACCAGCGAACCCTGTAATGCTTCTCGACACGCTTCTTCATGGGCGCCGAGTTGTTACTCGGCGCCTGGAACTTGTGATCCTCGTGATCGACAATTAGGTCGACAATCCAGCGTCGCGCACCCGATGCATCAACTAAGGGAGGAGGAGCATCACGACGGAAGACCTCTGGCGATGAGCGCCGATTCTCGTAATCGGGCGCCTGTAAAGTCGAATGATGAGCTGCGCCTACTCCGCGCTGAAGCCGAAGAGTCGAAGAATGCCCTACTTGATGCTCGCGAGATGGCTGAGAGAGCTCAAGATCGTGCGGATGCTGCGACTGAGGCTGCTGAGCGGACTCGACGTGAGCAGCTGGTACTGGTTGAGCGCCTACGTCAACTTGAGAAGACTGCGTTCGGAGGACCCCAGCAGATCGAGTCTGCACGCATTCGGGCAGAACTTGGTCCCAGTCGTCGTCAACGTCGTCGTCAAGGGATGTCGGATTTCGAGCCGACACAGAAGAGCGGGGAAGATTCGAAGGGAGATCCGCCGGCAGGTAAGCCTTGAGGCGCCCGACGTAGAACGTCGGGTGCAAACGCATAGATGTAGGTATGTCTATCGTGTAAGCGTCACCATGCACCTTAACAACCCGAAATGGGCCAATATATCTTGGCGCTAACTTATTAGCGCCCAAACTCGTCACTGAGGTGTTCGGTAATCCACTTGTTGATAACAATACTCTGTCACCTTCTCAAAATATCAACATATTCTTTCGTCCTCTTCTGTCTGCATTCTCCTTTTGCTTGTCGACTGCCTCTTGTAATGCATCACGCACAAAACGCGTGATTCCTTGTCGTAATAGTAGGAATTCGGTTACTGCAGCCGAACTTACAGGCGACGTATTCTCTTTTGGAGCAAAATTTGCAACGGGAGACGCGATGGAAACCATCGCGTCAGGAGTCGATATGCCGTTGGCCACGAAATTACCAGTATTAGGTGCATCGGCAGCAATCTTATGCGCATCGTAATCACTCATCAATAGTTTTGGCGCAATTCAATCCGTAGATACTCCCCCACCAAGCTTGGAGACAGGGTGTTCTGAAGCTGAGAGAGCAAGCAGCGCCGGAACGCGAGGATGCCTCGCGTTGTTAACGAAAAAGGGCGTCAACCCGGTTGACGCGTGGACAGCATTGTTGATTGCAAACTCTGCAAGTGGAAGA